AGTCTTCACCTTGGAAAAGTATAATGCAAGAGTGGCCCGTATGGTGCCTGAAGAAAGGGATGCCAAAGGTTAATCATGAGTCACTGTGGATTAAGAGCCTGTCTACGCTAAGAGCAAAGAACTGCTTGTTGGATCTGCACTGCTGCTACCTCATATGCACTGTGGATCAAAAAAGGCAGTTGACCCATTTAAGGCTCTGTAGACTAAGTCCCTTTGTGCTGTGTTTGCCTTCCTAGTTTCCAGTATGTTAAAAAAAATCCCAAATTAAATGGAACATCAGATCTGCATCAGGGTAGAGTTGTGAGATTGCATGCTACCCGTAGAGATCCCTGTTGGATACTCAAGCAGTAGTCTGATTGTGAGATTTGGACATCTAGCTGTATGCTGTGCTCAGGGTCAGCAGAGTGATTGCTGCAGTACACAGTGTGTCCTGGCAAAGCCTGCTGTGCTTTTGGTTCACTGAAGCTTTTAGATCTCTTCCTTTCACTTGACTCACAAATCAAAATTTTCCCTGTTACTTTTTATTCTGTTGCTTCTAACAGGCTACAGTAGCTGCTTTGTCCACTTCATTATTTTCCTGTTGACCTTGGAGAGCTGAAGCTGTGGGTTTCATCGTTCTATGAACTTTAGCTCAGTTTTCCTGCCATTTTGCTTGGAAAGCCTCCAGCAGTTTCAGTGGGTCAGACGCCAAAAGGCTTGAATCTCGCTGCATTGCTGAATTCAGTGAATTCATTGAGGGTTTCTCCCCGCTAAAATGAGGAGACAGCCCTTATCCTGCTGTAGAATAAGGGACACCCGTCCACGCCCACCCGAGATGTGGCTTATTCTGAGGCCTTGGCACTACTAACAATGCGACCCTTCAAACAAGGGCCAAAAGCATCTTGCAATTCTCTATTAATCCTTGGATACCAACTAGTCATTCAGTTTCTGTATCTCTACTGTGCTTCACTTGTCATCCACCTTGCTGTACTTCTTGCTCAACCGTTGATTGAAACAGGCATGAACTTCTGAGTGTCTGGATTTTATTCCCCCTATTTGCTGCCTGGCCCTGCTTGACAACCTAACAGCAGCTCTGTCCCTTGTTGGTTTGTTGGCTCTGACCCTGCAACTCTTCAAGTATCTGTTTCATGCAAGTGGATAAGCAGGTGGCATTACTGTACACCAACCACGAGGGGCTCCGCAGGAAGAGACCCCGATCTCTATAAAACTGCCAGTCTGCATTTTCTCCCTAAGTACTAATCAGTGGATGCATGCAAACCCTGCATGTTGTTACTGTCCCCTATTTAGATATTATGCCTTCAGTACTGGGTAACAGGTTTTATTTAGCTCAAGGACAGGAAACTCCTTTTAACTCAAATAGAGACAACATCAGGCAAAGCAAAACCAAATGTGGCAGTGATAAAAGTGCAGGTGACAAATCTTGCCGTGAAGCTGAGGTACTTAGGCTGGAAACCTAGCATTCCCAGGGTCTAACCCTAGTTTCAAACATGGAGGCCTCAGATTTTGGCCACATCCCAACTAGACAGTCAGAAAATTAACAGAAAATTCTTGTTAAATTTCCTCCCCTTTAGCTCTGGGGCCAAGATTGGCTGCTGATGTTGCTGCTGCCCAAGGTGCAAAACCTGCTACGCATCTGGTTGCCAATGTGACTTAATTTTTTGTTGAAAATTATCTCCTTGCTTCTGCCATTGCTCTAGCTCCATTAGCGTTCGTGCTCTGGGGACAGCCTGACTGATGGCTCCTCCAGACTGCTGATGCATATACACCCTGAATCTTCTTGACAAGACTAATGCATGCCCAAGAAAGGTGAGAAGCCACTGGCAATAGCACTGGAGATTTTGAATAAGAAAAACATAGTGTAGATAAAGCCTTGGTATCTGTCAAAGCTCTACAGAAATGTAATGCTAAACAATAGCTCTTCAATCCCAGGATGCTGTGTCTTTGTGACTGGGACTCTACATATTCGGCCATTTCCTTGGGTTTTGTAACAGGCTTTCTGTTGCCTGATTTTTATTCTCATCTACTGCTTGCAAGGAAGAACCAGGAAGGCAAGACGGTTGGGTCATTTCAGCATACCAGGGAAGGGCAGGAACTACAGCATGCATATCACAGACAGTTCTGGCTTCACTGTCAATTTAGAAATTGAATCTAAGATGTTTCAGTGGGACCAACCTTCACACAAAAGGGTGTAAAATCCATTCATAGATGAAGTCCTGTTAACTGCATCATATCTGCATACATGGGAGGAAAACTTATCTCCCAGGGGCAAAAAGATCAATTAAAACCAGAGTTCATCTCTGAGGCAATAATTAGGAAAAACCTGCGAGTGTCAAATTATACTTACATTATGGAAGTTTGATTTAATGACTGCACTCTTCTTGGCTTTGGGAGATTCATTTTAAGGACTGCTTATTTTTACAGTTGTACTTTGTTTGTGTAGCCCATACACCCTCCTTGTGGGTGGGAGGCATCAGAAATACAATCATTGCTGTTTGTAATTATGACCAGGAACTCAAGGGATGGAAAAAAACAGGACTCAAAGTTCTTTTATTACATGAAAAACCAGAAACATCTGTTTTTGGTCATGAGGTTTCTTGGCCCATTCTCCACTGTGTCCCCACCGGAAAATACCATTTCAATTAGCATAGACGGCTGCAACAGATTGCAAGAGACTTGGGAAAACTTAGTCAGACAAAAGAATGGAATAAACAGAAAGGAAGCAGCAGACTTGGCTTTTTTGTGCTAATATTCACTTTTGGGTAGTAAATAAACAGCCAGAATAACAAGCACATGAAGAGTTGTTGCTGAACTTGTGCTAGACTGGACATGAAAGCATCTGAGCCGCTATTTGCCTGAGATATTTTGTTTTGATTTAAAACAGCACACTTTTAATCACTTCTCCATGTTTTTTCTTATTGGCCATTTCTTTATTCACTCAACTGAATAGTACAAACTGGCTGGATGTTGGCAGTTTACAAAGAACAAAAATATAAAAATGAGACAAATTACTAGTTAAAAAAACCACCCCCAAACCAACCTGATAACATTTGGTGTGTGATGCAGTATTTAGACTGGATTACATTAAGGAAAACTGATTATGATGTTACACGTAATGCTCAACTTACACTCTGCCTCCAGAGTCAGAATATAAAGCACACAAGATATGCCAAATAGGCAGTAGCTGATCTTTGGTTGTATGATTATTTGCTGCAATACAACTGTGGGTGTCTAATTTTCGGTGTGTTTTACTTGCACGTGATAGTATGATAGAATGCTAGAATAAGCAGCTTCTCACTTGAGATGACTTTTTGAATATCAATATTCAAATCTAGTTGAACATATAACCTTCAGCTCCTACTGTTCAAACACTTAAGCATGCTTAACTCTGAAATGAATGGAAATGCTTGGGATTGAAATTAAGCACTTTAATGCCTGTCTGCAGGATTGGGGCCTTACTCTGATGGTCAGTGGGAGAACCTCACAGGACCATATTGTCCTGGTCACACACCCATCCCACTTCCTCTCAGCACAGCAATCCTATGCTACAACATCACCCAGCTGGCTGGAGCTCTTCAATCCCCATGCCACTAATATTGAAATCTGGTTGAGTCATTAACTCTGGAGAGAGGGGATCTGCATGGGTGGGGTGATCCTGCTGAGTTGAGCTAGTGTCTTACTGAAGCCTCTTTCTTACCTCACTCCATTACATAAGCCTTTACCCTCTCATTACCCATAATTGTTGCTCTCTGGGGTGGGAGAGCTGAGTTCCTCAATGCTGTGCTAATGTAGCTCACATTAAGTCAGCAGGATCTACGCTAGGGCTGCATAAACCCCCACTTTCCTGAAGTTAAAGGCCATGTGTGAAAGTCAAACCCAGGTTTCTTACTGGTATTGCACCAGTCTAACTGAAGGCCACCAAGCCAGGACTCCATACATGGCATACACTATATATGTATGTTATATATTGATTCACATGGGTTTAGTGATCATGAAAAATGCCAGCCCTGGAAACTGAAGTTCCCCATTCTCCATAGACAAGGTGCTGGCCTCCCTAACCACCACGACAGGGCCCATCCAAGGGAGTAGTGTATTTGAGACCATAACACTGCTTGGGTCTTGTATCTCTTGCTAATAACAGATCTCAAAGCATGTAAGAGGTTATACATAGACTTTATACAGAGGAAAACCAAGGCACAGGAAGGTAAAATGAGTTGCCCAGGGTCCATTGGTAGACCAGTGGCAGCCAGTGCTCCATACTCTACGCAATGCTGCCTCACTGCTGTCTGCCCTGCTACTGTAACAGGCACAATATCAGGTCTTTTAATTGTCTGAAAAAAGAAAATAGCATAAATAGGGGCCAAAATTTCACTCTCCCATGCATGCTCCCTGCTAAAATACTGAGAGTTCTGTATATGCACCGAAGGCTAAAAACTGACAGTGAAACAGTTAATTATGGAATGATGACCAAGATACTACTGAGGTATAAAACTCTGCGTCTGCTGGCCACTGGTCCACCTTGTCGTCGTCAGATTTGTCACTGTCTTCGCCGCTGGAAGCTTCGTACCCTGGCTTGGCAGAGTGGATTTGCTCTGGCTGCCTCTGGTCACCTCCTTCCCTCTTCTCTTCTGCCATCAGCTGCCTGTAGCACAGGCTGCAGACCCGCAGGGGCTTGGGGGAGAGCCGTGGCATCAGGAACTTCTGCTTGGAGCAATCCCCGCACACAACAAAGCCGCATTTCCGACAGTGGTGCCGGCGAGTGAGGGTAGAGAATTTGGTCTGTGTGCAGCGCATGCAAATATCGGTCGCTTTGTCGGGGATCCAGGGGGCAGCATGCTCAGTAGAGGGCTGCCGTCCGGTCTTTGTCAGCAGGTGCCGGATGCACTCCTCCAGGTGACTGATCCATTCCTTCCTTTCTGTGAGGGAGGCAGCAGAAACCACAAAGGACTTCTTTGAAGTCTTAATCATCCATCGGTTCTTCATCTGTAAGGTGTCTGGCAGCGTCTCCAAGGTGACGTCTTCGAGGGGTATGATGTGCTGGGAGTTGTACTTCCTTTTGTTGATCACTATGCTTCCATACACAAGGATATCATTGAAAAGGAAGAATATTCGAGGCTTGGGCTTCTTCCGGCGTTCCTTGGTCAAAATTCCCTCCCCGAGAAGGACCCTTCCTGGCACAGCTAAGGGCTGTCCCGATGCCCCAAAGCAGTTTTCCACAGTAGCGATGCGTTGGCTGTTAATCTCCGTGTTTGCCAGATGATCCACCATCTTGGCCTACACTGAAGCAGGGAGGGAAAATACAATTTTAAAGTTGTGTTCAGCAAATATAGCTGCATCAAGAATAGGTTCCTAATTGATCACCACATTTAAACAGAGGTAAGTAGTTCTCCAGATTAGTTTCAGTAGTAGCAATACCTAACCATGACTTTCCTTTTCTTTGAAGAAAACTCTATGGAAGGAAACACTGAACCTCTCATGTGCCCTGTAACAAATTGGCATAGTTGGAGTTGTGTGATTTAAATGATTCAGCCCCTGCCCCCCTTGCCTTTCCCTTGTGGATTCAGTTGTATACTGGACATAAACGTGCTGTGTAGCACTATCACTTATTCCCACTGGGATCATTATCTTGTACTGGGATCACTATATGGGTAAAACCAAACTGACATATGTACGACCGCAACAAAGTGTGCGGTGAACTTAGACTAACATTATGTAATGCTCTTTAAAAGACAACTGTGCTTCTGAAATGTATTTGACTGACAGGTATCAAAACTAAAATGCTTTGGCCAGGCGGCCCGTTCCCAAAGCATCCTTCCCATCCCCTGTCCCTCTTCCCTGCTCTGGAAGGTGTCACATTCACAGGTGCATCTCTACTGATTTTTAGCCTGTTCCTGACAACTGGAGCAAGGAGGCTGCTACTGCAAGCATTTTTATCACTGCATCTACACTCACCCTTGTGGAAGATGATGCAAGAGTGGCTGAACTCCCTGCTATTATTAGACTGAAAACCTTGCTAGTGTAGTGACCAATGTGGTGGAAAGTCAGCGCAGCCTGTGGGTTCACTCAGTCCTTGGCCTTTGGGCCGAGATGGCTCACAGGCACTGTCTTTCTTTAGGAATTTGGAATAAAGTCCATTTAAATCAGGGACACTACTGGAATAGCCATCAAGTCCCTGCAGAGACCAAAGCTGTTGTGGCCAGCATTCAGCTAGCATCCCGGGGAGGTGAAGTGCATGTTCACTCATGTTCTGAGCCCTCATCTTCCCCTGTGATGCAGCTCTCTGTGGATGGAGACCAAAACCCTCAAAATAAACAAGCCCACACAGCTCAACAGCTGCATTCATTACACCAACCATTTCTCCTGCTCTATCAGTACAAGACACATCATTCTGAAATGTTATAATCAGTGTTAAAGAGAAGTAGAGCGCAGCACATTCATTCCTCCCTCCACCTCCACAGTACTAACCCCCTGCTCATCACTCCTTTCAATGTACAAAGGTAGGTCTGATAGGAAAGCACCTCTTTAATGTCCCCCATCTGGGCCACTTCCTTGCTCTGGTTCTGTGTCTAGGGCATAACATCCATGAGAAACATAGCCACTTCCTTTCAGAGCAAGGTAGCTCAGAGTTCATCACGTGCACACAAGCCCGAGTCTGTTAGCAGTTCAGGCAATGGCCAATAGGAAACTCCTTGTTACATTAAAGAACTGGTTCTCAGAAGCTCTAAATATCCCTTGGCCTTCGACTACTTAGCTTCAGTGGCTCTGGACAAACAGTACAGAGGACCCTGCATTCAGGTAATACCTTTTGCCTCTGTGTGCTTTAAGAGAAACCACAACCACATCCAGAGCACTTGTCCGATGCTGCTGTGTGCTGGTCAAATGGTTTAGACAGGAAGCAGCCTGTTTAAAATTACTAGGCATGAAGAGAATAGCTGAATGCAATCATTTATCTAAGAATGGGGCAAGGAGACTGTGATGAGCCAACAGTGTGCCCTTGTGAAGAAGGCTAACAGCGTACTGGGCTGTATTAGTCGGAGTGCTGCCAGCAGATGTAGGGAAGAGATTATTCCCCTCCATTTGGCACTGGGGAGGCCACATTTGGAGTACTGTGTCCAGTGTTGGGCCCCCCACTACAGAAAGGATGTGGACACATTGGAGAGAGTCCAGCAGACGGCAATGAAAATGGTTAGGGGACTGGGGCACGTTACTTATGACATAAGGCCAAGGGAACTGGGCTTATTTAGCCTGCAGAAGAGAAGATTGAGGGGGGATTTAATAGCAGCCTTCAACAACCTAAAGGGAGGTTCAAAAGAGAATGGAGCTAGAGTCTAGACTATTCTCAGTGGTGGCTGATGACAGAACAAGGAGCAATGGCCTCAGGTTGCAGCAAGGGAAGCTTAGGTTAGATATTAGGAAAAACTTTCTCATGAGAAGGGTAGTGAAGCACTGGAACAGGTTGCCCAGAGAGGTGGTGGACTCTCCGTCCTTGGAGGCTTTTAGGACCCGGCTAGACAAAGCCTTGGCTGGGATGATCTAGTTGGCGATGGTGCTGCTTTGAGCAGGGGGTTGGACTAGATGACCTCCTGAGGTCCCTTCCAACCCTCATAGTCTATGATTCTATGACTGAGTTGAATTCCCGGTAGAGTTTGCATGGCGCTCAGGGGCAAGCTTTCAGAAAAGTCCTGCTCCCATTTCAGAACCTAAAGGAAGCAGCCATGTTTTCCAAAATGCTCAGGAAATGCTCCTGTCCCTTTGGAAGCATCTGTTCACTCCTTACTCATCATGAGAAGACCACACTGGTTACCTTTTGAGAGTTACTGGGATCCTGTACGTGGTAAGGTGAAGGCAAGCTACAGGAGGCACGAGAGAACAACCATGCGACTTCCCCTGAAGCAGGAGACGGTCCTAGGGACTTAGTTCTGTCAGGATAGATTTTTTCAGAGGAATGAGACACCACAGCATGTTTAATGCATTCAGACAGTGTTAAGAACCTCTGTTCATCAATGTGCAGTATAGTTTATACCCAACTACGGTGCAAACTTCTACAACACATTAATGGGGTGAAGGAAACTGGCTGAGATTTTTATTCCCTCTCTCTCATTAAAGGAATTGGCAAGGAATTTATTTGGACTTGGAAAACTTCCCTGAAAGATAAACTATAGCAGGCCATGCCTTTTGCTCTCCAAAGTACAAACTCAGGTCCCTGCGCAAACAACTGAATAGAAGAATAACAGCCTCTCGTTAAGAATGCAGATAAAATTCTCCCCAGGCTCTCCCCCAGATCACTGCTGGAGTCAACGTTTCCAAGTGGCTGTCACAAGTAGCTTTAGAACAGGATTCAGAGTAGCCTCTAAAAGCTAAGGGAGTCATTAGGTATGTGGGGGTCTTCATTAATGCGCCATAGACCTTTCCCTCCAAACAAGACCGTTCTGAATGCTGCCGTAAGGGATTAACTGCATCCCCTTTGTGTTGGGGAGAGTTAAGAAGCTGTGTCATTGCTTAGCTTGTCAGATGGAATGAGAGGGTAGCCTAAGTGGATTTTGCTACAGGCACTGAGATGTCAGGATTTAACTTCTGTGCAAACATTTTTTTTTCTTCCTCTCTGACTGATTGAGGAATAGGACAATAAATAGACTAGAAAACAATCATACAGGGAAGGCCTGACATGGCCCTGGGTTAAATGCACATATGTTTTTATAGTGCTGGCGTCTTGCCAAGGTTAGGGATTGTCCTGTTTGAGCTTAATAGGAACAGGAGCTTAGGACAGGAGAGAGAGATGAGAGGGACAAGGCATGATAGAAAATCAAAGAAAAACAGGAGGGGATGAAACCAGGGTGGAGCCATGTGTAGGAATATGGGATCCAGCACAGTACTGCAGATAAATTTGGGGATTATCAGTGCGGAATTGGGTAGGTTCATGATCCTGCTTTTAGCCATTTCTCTTCCAGGTTGTATTCCCACCTGAAAAACGGGTTAAATAAGCCTCACATATGTCAGGAAGGCTCTGAGATTCATGCCATGTGAGTGTTTTGAGACTGATTCAGTAAATATGTAGCAGCTAATAAAGGTGAAGCCGGGTTCAAACACAATGCCCTGGCATCCTGTCCCCTCCCCTCCCCTCCCCCTCCAATCCCACCTACACACACGTGCGCGCGCGCTGGAAGGATGGTTAGTTTCTTTGGAGGCATTTCTCTGTGACTGTGGAGTCTCCACTTTTCCTACTACTGTATTTTGTAGTTTGTAGACTAACCCTCTGTATTTCAGAAGCATGACTAGACTTCTAAGTGTGCGGAGGGGCACAGGTGAGTATAAACTAGACCAGGGGTCTGCAACGTTTTTGACCAGAGTGCCAAGAACACCTGCAACCTCGACTTGTAAGATGTTGGTGTGCCAGGGGCAGATGGGGGGGATCTGCGAGGGGCCCAAGCCCCGTCGTGGCAGCGCAACCCTGGCCTCTTCCCCACCGTCCGCCCGGAGGCGCATGTGCCAAGCAAAATGCCTTCATGTGCCACCCTCTGGTAGCCATGCCAGGGGTTGCCTACCCCTGAATGAGACAGAGAACTGACAGTACAGATGGAGGATTTCTACGCCAAGACCCCCAGTAAAATTTTGAAAGCATCCAGAGTCTCTTTCTCCAAAGTAATTAAGGAATTTAGGGGCGCATCTATCCATGCAATTATGACACAATAAACTCGGACACGCATCGTGCCAGAATGTATTGCTCCCAGGCACCGCATTTACACATGTGCCTGGGACTGCAGCACATTGAGCTGGATCGAAGCAGTCTCAGTTGGCAGGGGGCCCAGAGCGTCAGCTTGCCAGCCCAGGACTGCTCCAACCCAGCATAACGTGCTGCGGAGGGGCTGGCTGGGCAAGAGACTGCTGCAACGTGGGGCTAGCTGGCAGGCAGCCCCACACTGAAGCGCCCTCATGTCCCAGCCAGCTCTGTCAGTGTCTACACATGTGTTGCTGCGCAGTAAAGAACACCACAGCAGGATATTACTTGTATTTACAAGTACTAACTTACAGGGGAGCTAATTAGCTTACTGAGGCCTAATAGTGCTGTACATGCAGACACTATAAGACTTTACTGCCAGGCTAATTAGGCAGCTCTGCAGTAAACCTCTCTTGCAGACATGCCCCAAGTGTGGCTGAAAGTCCAATCAGATTTTTGTCCTTTGAACATTTTAACCATCATGCTTTGTTTGGCTCTTATGCAGTAAAGAAAATGTGGGAATGCTGTTGCATGGACTAAAGGGAAAAATCAGATTGCACACAAGCATCTTTTTCAATTCCAAAATGAGAGAGAAACAAAGGAACTGCCTGTAGCATGTCCTGCTCTGATCTGGCTTTCTATTCCTGTGCAGAATGATCGTGTACTAAGACAGTGAGCGCCCCAACCTGCTGTCTGAAATCAGAACGTTGGCTCAAGGAAAGAGAAAAATGTATCATGACACTCCCTTTGGGAGTACTGCCAGTGCTGGGGTAGGAGGAAGAAGAGTTTCATTAGATTTCCCTGGTACTCCATGATCTCTGCGGTGGGTATCTGCACCTACGGTAATGTTTGTCCTATTCAGTTTGAAGTCACGTGCCCCTCTTTAAGTTGGTCACACTGCCATGTGCCCCAGTGATCGTGTTATAGATAATAAAAATGCCACTGTATGTCACTATAATCGCAC